TTTTTTTTTTTCATAAATAAAATAAAGCAGATTGTATTGATAATCGATGTATCTATTAATTGATTATTGATTCATCACACAAATATACAATTTTCATCGTTTAAAAGTTACAAAATGTCTTGTATTTTTATATAAAAAATATTTGGAAATATTATTTATTTATTATGATTTTTGATAAGATTTATGTATATATCACTAATTGGCAAACATTAATGCAAATTATAGATCCTTTAATCAATTGAATTGTTACGATATTAAAGTTTTTATATTAAATTGCTTAAAGTCTGCACTATTTAAAAGAATAATATTTTTAAAACTTATTTAATAGTAAATAGAATTATACGTATTATGTAAGAAAATATTTTAACAATGATTTTTTTTTAACTAAAATTATAATATGTGTTTGTTATTAAATAACAACAGTAAATTGAATAGTGTAATAATGACAGACATCATAATTCATTTAAGTCATAACCTTTAATATGAGAATGAGAGAGAGAGAGAGAGAGAGAGAGAGAGAGAGAGAGAAGCTTAATAGTAAAAGTGTTCGTTGTTACCAAATGTATTACTTGTTTAAATATAAAAATCGTTCATACTATTATAGTTTTCTTAAACATTTATATTCTGCATTAAATGTATTTGCATAATTCATAATGGTAATAATCATCAATATATCATAGAAAATTTTTATGGTATATCAATAAAAGTTTTTATTATATGTTTTTTAATTGCTAGAGTATTACAGTTATATTTATGATAAATGTAATGATGATAAATACAAGGATGATAATTATAAAAGTGCAGCATGTTTTGGAAATTTTATTTTTAAATAGTTAAAAATCTTTAATTACGTAAAGGCATTATGTTGAATAATTGAATTCTTTTGTAAATAAAATTGAGGATAATTGATGATTGAAAATTATGATAGACATCTTTACGTAAGTTTCATATAATTACAAGATATGTATTTTATTGTTGAAGATTTTATTTTAATCTGTTATTATTTGCTTAAATTCAATGATTAAAAATAATATTAATGCCTCTATGGAAGTAGAATATAACAATAAATCTATCCGTTATTTTATATTAGAGAGCATAATGTTTTTTTTTTGTTTTTGTTTTTTTTTGGTTTCGTGTTACAATTCGTAGGAAGATAGGAAGATTTTGTAAAAGTGGACTATTTTATCATTATTACATTACTGTTTGAAGTACGAATACTTAAGAGTTAATAAAATTAATAATAAAAATTGAAAAACTCTATTATCATTCTGACTCTCTCGTAAATTTTTATATTTTATTACCAGAATTATACAACCGATGCTCCTAGGCCTATTAATTTATTATTTCGATCCACTCTCGACAACTAGTATTAATGAAGCATACATGTACGCCACGGGCCTTATACTTGTGACGATGTTGCAGACGATAATAGTACGTCAGGCACATTTGGGACTCCAGGAGATTGGTATGCGCGTAAAGATCGCATGCTCATCTCTTATTTATAGAAAAGTGCGTATGAGACTCTTTTGATTTAAAGGCTAAAATGGCAAATTCATTATATTTGTATGGCATGTGTAATTGCAAACAATAGTCGGTTATTTTGATATTCCCTATGATGTTGCTATTGTTTTTATGGGAGATTTTTTTTTTTTTTTTTTTTTTTTTTTTTTTTTTTTTGCGGAAGTACCATAAGTTTTATCAAGTATACAGTATAACAAGGACCCTGGTTGAGCTTTGAAAATTTAGAGATACATGATCTATCGCTATTTAGAAAATAAATTTAAGTTTATAGAATCGTGGCGACCGTCGGGCGAATAATTTTCTTGTGTAATTTGTAACATTATTTTGATCGTAAAATGAATATTTAAATAAACGCAATGTTCATGGTTTTGTTTAGTAATGGAGGAATGGAAATAAAAAAATCAATGCAAATGTAAATTTGGAACAAGTGCAATATTTTATATATAACAAAATAATCTACTTAAAGTATTTTAAATTGTAAATTACGGACTCGTTTTTTTTTGTTTTTTTTTTTTTGTTTTTTTTTTTGTTTTTTGTTTTTGTTTTTGTTTTGTTTTTTGTTTTTGTTTATGTAATGATTAACTAAAACTTATATTGAGATTGAAAATGTGGTTACAAACCTTATCTTATAATAATAAATGTCTATTTCGATATTTCGAACTTAATTAATTACCCATAAGTGTAAACATAATTGAAAAATATTATGTTTATTCGGTGTTTATTTATAAAAATTATCTTTCGGTAAACTATAATTCGATAAATTGACATCCTTAAATAATTATGTTAAACAGATGAGTTTTTTATTTTTCGAAAAAAAAAAAAAAAAAAAAAAAAAATCAATTTGTCGTAATTATTGTCTTATGTGCTCTTAAAATCATTTAGATCCTTAAGCTGTCGAGTGCATCTGCCAGTCAAGCTGGTGGGGGACTGATAATCAACTTGTTATCCAACGATCTCGCCAAGTTCGAATTGTTTTTTCTACATTTACATTACATTTGGATAATGCCTTTTATTATCACTCTAATAACATACTTGATTTGGTTACAATTGGGAGCTGCATCTTTCGTGGGAATTTTATTAATGACATTACAGATAATCCCAACTCAAGGTTATTATTATTTCATCTTTCACATAAGCTTTTAAAATGCTTATTATTTTTAAAGAAATTTACAGAATGCATTTCGTATCGTGATTAAAGTTATTTTTCACGCACAAATTTCGCGCGATACGAGCATTTATTAGCGTCAGATAAATTCGATAAGATTTTGCAATTAAAAAAAATTAACGTCGCGCCCTCTGAACATTAAAAAGAAGAGTACATAAAATAAATAAATATAAAGATTCTTAAAGATTAAACAAGAAAAAAAAAAAAAAAAAAAAAAAAAAAAAAAATCTGCGTTACAATATTATTTTCAAATTATTTAAATATATATGCAAAATTATTGAAATAATTAGATGAAAATATTTTCAGTTTTCTGGTATAACATAACAACGAAATTACTATCGAAGGGAGCAACAAGGACTGACAAAAGAATATTATTGGTTGAAGAAGTAATTAATGGTATACGGGTGATAAAAATGAATACTTGGGAAAAGTACTTTGAGCATATGCTATACATTGCCAGAAGGTATAATAATGATAGTGCATGCATTTTATTAAGTATAAGCAATTTATTATTATTACAAATTTTTTATATTATCGAGAGACAAATATTAATGGCAATATTCTTATTCTTGTGAAAGCTTGAAAATTATCTATTAAATTATATTAACACAACTCTCTACTATAATACATAGAATTTTGTAGATGTAATTATAGTGAAAAATGTTCACCACTGAACTTCCTTTTTCCTCGCAACAAACTAAAATAATTGCTTACTCGACAAAATTTTATTTAACATTATTATGGCTTTGTCAGTGTTGCGTTGGTGGACATTAGTGATCTCACTAATGACTATAAATTTCCAAATGAAAGACAAAAAAAAAAAAGAAAGAAAGAAAGAAAAAAATTCGAAACAATTTATTTTGATTTCAAAAGAATTCAATTAATCGAGCTCGACCTTAATAATCAATCACCATAAAATTTCCATTGGGCAACAGATACGAAATGGATGCGATTCTGAAACGATGCTACGTGAGAAGCGCGAGAGTAGCTTGCGCTCTTTTTACACACCGGGTGGCACTATTTTTTACAATTTTAGTATATGTACTGCAGAGCAAGATCTTAGTGGCCGACAAAATCTTTTCCACGGTGCATTATTTCATATTAGTGAGAATGATAATGGCTCAATTCTTCCCGGAAGCAGTCTCACTTACAGCCGAAGTTAACGTATCTATAAAGCGAATCGAGGTAATGAAAATTTAATCCCCTCCAACGCTCCTATTAATATAATTCAACGACAATACACAATAATTTATTTAGTCTCATGTTGAGTATCATCGATGTTTCTCTGCTAAATGTTTAACCTGACATTTTTGTTTCATTATTAAATTGATAAATTTCACGCATTACTTTGTGCATTTGACGCGCATTTAACGCGCGCTTATTTCGGTAAATTTCATTTTATTCGTCGAAATATTTGGATAATTTTATGTGTCGAATGAAAAAAAAAAAAAAAAAAAAGAAAAAAAAAAAAGAAAAAGAAAAAAAAAATAACGGAGCAAAAAGATAATGCCGTAAGAAGTATAACGGATCCAGCGATCCAAGGGATATTGAACATCTTTGAAAATTCACACACAAACATACCGACTTACCTAATTGTCCATGCAAATTATAAATTTAAAATAACACAGTTTTTATGAAATCTTACAAGTGTACGTTATTCTTCTTCATTACGAATCCCATTCATTTCAACTATTAGAATTACTTGCTTCTCTTTCATTAATCTCAGTGCAATAATGCCATTATAAACCGTATAAAATAACTCCCATTAAATAATAATTCTTGTAAAGTATTATGATAAAGAAAGAAAAAAAAAAAATTATTTAAACGCTTCTTAATTGACAAATTGAAATCGACGTCTTTGCGCGCCAAACTTTAAAATGTAATTTTATTTCAGAAATTTCTACTTCTAGAAGAGACCAAATCTATTGCCAAAGAAATTACTTTAAATAAACATAATAAGATGAACGATACGAATGTAAAGGAGGGAAGTGTTTCCATTAAAGAAGTTAATACTTCGTGGGGAGAAAATTCAAATCTCAATAATTTGCGTCACATTAATCTTTGTATTTATCCAAGAAAGTTGTACGCTGTCGTAGGGCCTGTAGGTTCTGGAAAGGTAAGAGTATAATTGTTAAAATTTTCAAACTTTTATTACATAAATGTTATTGTCTGTTGATATTGCGTTATATTTTTTTAAGATAATAAATGAAACTATTTAAACGATAATATATTCTCTATTCAATTCAGTTGGAATGATATTAGTATTTGGTGTTTAATTTTAATTTTAATTTTTTACATATTATAAACATATATGCTAAGTTGTAATTAAGCCTTAACAATTATTTTAATAATAAAAAACAAAAACAAAAACAAAAAAACAAACAAACAAACAAACAAACAAACAAATGATTAACAGTTAACGAAGAGGAGGACACTCGAGTGACAAGTAACGTTACAATAGCCATTTCATTGTATAAATATAAATGTAATGCTTAGTGATGCTTTTGGTGTTCAATTCTTAAAATTCAATGATAATAATTTTATTACGTATGTTTAATTATAAATTGAACATCACATTATCGTGAGTTTGTTACAATTTGATTGGTCAATATCGATTTAATAAAAATCTCTACATAGTAGCAAATGTATAACAAAGTATAACATAAAATATGCGATAAAGAAAAATTTATTACATGGGTCGTACAATTTATAAAATAATTAAAGTATTTTATATGCGTTTAATTGAATGATCATTTATTTGAGCCGAATAAATGTATGTATATTATAATAAATTTATAGAAAATGAATTATTGAGAATATTTCTATTGTGGTTTCTAAAAGTATATGAATAGAATCGTTCACACACACACACACACACACACACACACACACTTGCATTCGGTTGACACAGCATTTAGAAATTATTTTATACGAAACTCTCTTAGCTCGGACCAACGGATAGGTTAACATCAATTTGGCTATTTTGATTTTTGATTCCAAACAAATTCCCATTTTAAGTGACGATAAAGCCGATTTAAATTCTTGTAGCTTTTAAGCCAATAGATATCAAAAGAAAACCATTAATATGTAATTTATTCTGCCATACCTTGAGCTATAAATCATGCGTATCACACATTATAATTATAACATTGAATTCCATTATAATTATTTACAATTAGGTAAGCGCAATTATCTGCATTGATTTAGCGCTAGTGTAGTGGTGGCACCGCGACTAAAAATCTCGACTAAAAACTGTCACGAAATGAATTATATATCGACAATCGTATACAAAAAATGTACAAAAAAAAAAAAAAAAAAAAAAAAAAAAAAAGCTGCGAGACGAGAAGTTTTGTTTCTTAAGCAGCTGGAACGCGAAGGCGGCGAATTGTTAAAATCCGTTAGGCTCGGACTAGGACAAAACGAAGGCATTCATCAACCAGTCGATCCTCCAGGGAAAAATAATCCTTTTGTCTGTTCGCAGAGTTCATTGTTAAAATTAATTCTAGGAGAGCTTGGGACAACTAGTGGCGAGGTTACCGTATACGGGCGCATCTCGTATGCGAGTCAGGAGCACTGGCTCTTCTCGGACTCGGTGCGCGAAAACATCATTTTCGGCGAGTGCCAGGACGAGGGGAGATACGCCCGAGTTACCGCGGCTTGCGCTCTTACCAAGGACATCGAGCAGATGCCTTACGGTGATGAGACTCCGGTTGGCGAGAGGGGTGCCAGCCTAAGCGGAGGACAGTGCGCGAGGATCAACCTGGCAAGGTACTTTCTTTCGCATTCGTGATTATTAGATAAATTAGGATTGTCGGCCACTTGGAATTACGTGCGTTGGATATAAAAAAAATTCGATGAAATTCATTCACAGAACTTTTAAATATTCAAAGTCTTTGGTGTTATGATTTGTTAAACTAACGACTCTATGAGATTTATCGTTTAAATACAATTATAATTAATATAACGATGATAATGTTAATTTGTTAGATTAATAGATTAATATTATAACGGATTAAATATAGACTAGATTAATATTCTTGTCAATGTTTATTATTTTTGTTTCTCACCAAGCGTAAACAATTTACTTCATAATTCACAACATTCGTAAAATACTCTTTGCCTTAGAAATTATCCACGAGATTCAGTTGGTTTATTGCATATAATACGGAGAATTCTTTATAGCATTAACGATTAACGGCTAAATAAGGAATTAACGTTGTTAGGTGGTGGTGGGGGGGGGGGGGGGAATGCAAAGAATTAAAAAAGATTAGCTAGGATCTGTAGCGCTAATTTCTCTATTAAAGACTTTTGCCGAACTTACGATTTCCGTGACAGTGCGTGAAATAATCAGCGATACACTCTTT